AGACCAACCACCCTCTCTAACACCAGGCAAAGGACTTAAATATATATATATTCAGCCAAAGAAAATATACAAATGGCCAACAAACACATGAAAAGATGTTTAATATCACTGGTTGTCAGAGAAATGTTAACTCATTAAAATCTGGCTCCTAACCTAACTGAAGCTGCTTTTACTTAGTAATCCAATTCAATAATTTCCTAGTTATAAATTCCAATAGACTCCTAGTAATCCTTGTTTTGCTCAACTATCGAAAGCATTTAAAGTATGACTTCACTTTTAAAAAAGATGTTTTTTAATTTGGAAACTCAGAGAGGAAGATATTCTGTTCATTGATTCACTTCCCAACTGGTCAAAATGGCTGGAACTGAGCTGATCCGAAGCCAGGAGCTTCTTCAGGGTCTCCCACGCGGGTGTAGGTCCCAAAGCTTTGGGCCGTCCTCGACTGCTTTCCCAGGCCACAAGCAGGGAGCTGGAAGGGAAGTGAGGCTGCCGGTATTAGAACCGGTGTCCATATGGGATCCCGGTGTGTGCAAGGCGAGGACTTTTGGCCAATACTCCACCATGCCAGGCCCATGACTTCCCTTTATAAATGAATGTTTCTGTGCAGTCAGCTGTGAAGTAGCTCCCGTTTCTTTTTCATACGGATCCCATTTTGGTGTCTCTAACAACATGTTCTCGTGGTTTCTCTACATCCCCAAACACATGGGAGTTTCCTTTTCCAATTCTTTTTTGTGGTTTTAAATGTTACTCTTCACAACCTGTTTCCAAGACACCTTTCTGTCAGTAAATACCTCCTATGAGGTGTTGCTTAAAGATGTCAGCCTCCCTTTGAGCCACATAATAGCTCAATAGGCTAATGCTCCACTTTGTAGCACCTGCATCCCATATGGGCATTGGTTTGTATCCCAGCTGCTCCACTTCCCACCCAGCCCCCGGCCTGTGTCCTGGGAAAACAATCAGGGATGGCCTAAAGCCTTGGAACGATGCTCCCATACAGGAGACCCGCAAGCAGAGCCTGGATCCTGGCTTCGGATCAGCTCAGCTCCAGACGTTGCGGCCACTTGTATCATTTGGGGAGTGAATCAGCTGATGGAAGATGTCTTTCTTTCTGTAACTCTCTCTTCCAAATCAAAATAAATAAATAAACCTTAAAAAACAAAATAGACTTCGGTTACCCTTACAACAAGCCTGATGACGCCCACATCAAGACATCTCTCCCGTGCTCCAAACCCACAGGCTCAGCTCCACGGGTCATTCCACCTGCAGTGTTTCACGATCATTTCCACTCGGTATGGCCAAAAGGTGAAACACTGTCACTCCTCAAATTTGTGCCTCTTCCTAAATTCCCTGCTCCATATCCTTTACCATTCTTTAGTCAATTACCAAGGTTAAAATCTATGTCACTTTTTTTAAGTTTGTATTCGTTTTTACTGGAAAGGCAGATGTACAGAGAGAAGAAAAGAAAGAGAAAGATCTTTCTTCACTGGTTCACTCCCCAAGTGGCCACAATGGCTGGAGATGAGCTGATCTGAAGCCAGGAGCCTGGAGCCTGCCTGGGGTCTCCTATACAGACACAGGGTCCCAAGGCTTTGGGCTGTCCTCAACTGCTTTACCAGGTCACAAGCAGGGAGCTGGATGGGAGGTGGAGTAGCTGGGACAAGAACTGGCACCCATATGGGATCCTAGTGCATGCAAGGCAAGGATTTAGTCATTGAGCCCTTATGCCAGACCCAAATCTATGGCATCTTATCCTATTATCATTTATACCCTAAAAGCAATCCTACAAATTCTACTTTACAAATACGTATTAACCAAATGACACTGCCTTTGTTCAGATCCTCATCTTTCACCTCAATTATTGCAAAGCCTCCCAACTAGTTCTTCTGTATCCAATCTTATTTTTTCTCTAGCCCTTCTGTAATTCCAAGGTCAACTTTCTAAAATGAAAACCGTAGCACATTCTTTAATGATTAAAAATGCATAAACTCTATTATTATGCCACTCCCCCGCAAAAGAAGTAAAATCCTTACAAAGGCATGCAATATCCTGTCTGTGAAGCCTCATCTTCAGCAACTGACCCCAACCACCAATGCTACAGCTATAGAAAACGACTTCTCGTTTTAAACAGCATCCCTGCGCTGGCTTCCAGCAGCAAATACACTAAAACTAAAAGTGCCCCAGGCTCGCTCTCACTACACATCTCTACCCAAACTCTCCCCCTGCCCTGTGCTCCTTTTTTCTCAGTTTCTGCTTTAGTCATATCTAAGCCTTCTTTAAACTTAAGGACATAGAACACATCATATTTTAAGATTTATTTTTTATTATTTTTTCATTGGAAAGGCGGATATACAGAGAGGAGAGACAGAGAGGAAGATCTTCCATCCGATGATTCACTCCCCAAGTGAGCGCAACGGGCCGATACTATGCCGATCCGAAGCCAGGAGCCTCTTCCGGGTCTCCCACGCGGGTGCAGGTTCCCAAAGCCTTGGGCCGTCCTCGACTGCTTTCCCAGGCCACAAGCAGGGAGCTGGAAGGGAAGCGGGGCTGCCGGGATTAGAACCGGCGCCCATATGGGATCCCGGGCGTGCAAGGCGAGGACTTAACCACTTGCGCCACCGCGCCGGGCCCGAACACATCATATTTTAAAAACTTCCTGGCACACAGCACACACAGCGGGGTTGCTACAATGGAGTGAGGAGCCAGTGATCTGAGCTAAGCTGCCTCCTACAATGCCAGTGTTCCACACTAGAGAACTGGTTCAAGTCCTGGCCACTCTGATTCCCACTGAATCCCCGGTAATTAATGTGCCTAGCAAGAAAGCAGGACACGATTCAAGTAGCTGGGCCCTTGATGGAATTCAGGCCTCCCCGGCTTCAGCCATTTGGGGAGTGAACCAGCAGACAGACCCACACACTCTCTCTCCCCCACGGCCCTTCTCTATATCTTCCTCTCTCTACCTTTCAAATACACTTAAAATCTTTAAAAATAAGAATAAAATTAAAGGATTAAAACAGAGTGAGCAAACTTAGGTGTCTGTCTCACCCCCGTGACTTTTATTAGCTGCAAGCTGGAGTTGAAGCTACTTTGATGAAATGACTACGTATAATTTGGTCCCTACCTCCCCGGTTGGTCTTGCCACCCACCTAGTCTCTGGTTAGTGGTCCCTGCAGACGCTACTGTGCGATTGAGGCCTCCCAGGCACTGGTCCCTGCTCCCTCCCCCTCAGGGTCCCCTCTTTCCGAGCCTGCAGGCTGTTCTCATCTCCTCCCACACAGTTTTCCCTGCCCTGTCCTTTCCTCCAGCTCTGCTGGGCTCCTCCAAGAATCTGACCAGTACCTCTTTTGCAAATTCACTAGTGCCCCATTATTTCTCCAATCAAAACCACTTTAGAAACTTAGTGGCCTTGCCGACAGTTCAAACTCAAGGACAAAGTTTGACTATCCAGAGAGCCTCAACAATGTGGTTCCCATCTTTAAACTAGCATGGCACTTCCTACACAGTAATCCTCATATTTTAAATAACATGCATTTTCCCTCACTCCTTCCCACCTATACCAACAGAAGCTTCCAACAAGGAGGCTCTTCTTAAAAACAGCTTATTTTCAGGGTATATTCTGGACTTACTCTCTTCTCACCAAGCAAAAAACCGTGCAGACAGACCTATACAAATTATTTTACTATAGTTTTCTAACGTCACATCTTTCTAAACCGCAGGAAAAATGGCCCCTGCAAAAGCTGCAGGAAATAGAACTTTGGAGACATAGCTAGCCCAGTACCCAAGCATTACACTGCTCCTTGATACTTTAAGAAGTGCTTCTCAACAATCATAAAACCGGTGGACAATTCAATGAAACTGGGGACCACCCTACAGATTTTCCTACAGCCACGACCACCCACGGCAATTACTCATCTGTTTTTTAAGGAAAATACTCAATACAATCCTAGAGACAGAAAGTCAACTTTCTCCTTCTCGGTCTCCTGTACTCCTTTAGAAGTTACCATTAAACCCAAAGCGGGGCCATCTGTTACCTCCACTGAAAACATTTTCTAAGTAACAGCCGAGGAGCCAGCATTAGAACACGACCGCTCCACTAAGCAAAAACAAAAATGCATGAACCCGTTTCAAATGAGGCTGGGTGCACCAATTCAATGTGCAAACGCCTGTACCTTATTTTCCCCAGGAATGCTGGCAATATCTCGAGGTAAAATTTTAACGATCTTTAAGAAGGCCACTAGGCCTGGGAGCAAACAACGCTGCTTGCTCAAGAGGCAGGCTCTGCAATAACGCATTCCCAGACTCCAAACAGCCTAATGACTTCGGGGAAGACTGAGACCTGAACGGTCTGTAAAACCTGTTCCCTGCTCCATTTAAACAGAGAGGCAGCCGAGCACGACTGCTGGCCTCAACCAAGCAGCTGGACACGGGCGAGACTGGAACGTGAGTGGAGAAAGCACTCGCCCACCTGAGACCTGCCTGACCGTGACCACTGAAACCTGAGCTAAGGACCGCAGTCCCCGCAGGCGCCCTCAGCTCAGTGCCAGCCGTGGGCAACCCCGGGGGGCATGCCTGCTGCACCGGCCGTGCAGGTCGACAGGTGAACACAGGTGCGACTCCAGCAGTCAGGGCTGCGAAAGAGCGGTGGCCTCCTCCCTGGCCAGGGACGCCCCGAAAACTCAACCCGAGAGGGCCTCGGTCCCTGGCTCTCCTCCCCAGCCCCAGAGCACCCCATCCCAACCGTGGGTGCCATTAAGGAGGCCTGTCCGGCAAGCGCGGCGGACGGGCTGCGCTGGGAGCCAGGGAAGTGGGCGAAGCCTTCCCGGGAGGAACCCCAGAAAAAGGGCAGCCACGCCCCCGACCCCCCAACTACACACCGTGCCGCGGCGGGCGCCGAGCCTCGCACGCTGCCTGACAGACGTGGGCGCGAGGCCGGGGTGGGAGAGGGGCTCCGCAGGAAGCCGAGGGGCATCGCCGCCACCCTGCGCGCGACCCGAGCCACTGACCTGTGCCTGCTGCTGCGCGACCGCCCGTCCCGCCGCGGCCACCGCTTCCTCCCGCTCACGCGGCCGCCGCCTGCGCAGCGCCCCTGCCCAGTCTCGGGTGCCCCATTCCCACCCCGCCCAGCCTCCGCCTGTTTACAATGATTGGGACGGAACAGGACGAGCCGGCCCAGTGCGCACGCGCATTCCCTCCTGCCGGCGCAACCGGCTTGCCGGGCCCTCCTCTCTCTGCTCACGCACCGTACCCTGGAGAGCGGCATGCTGGGAAGTGTAGTTCACAGGACCTCATTGTCTAGGCGCCAAAAAGGCATCTCCTCTGGGAGGTAAACTACACCCCCCAGAATGCAGAGCGATTCTTCTGGGCCCCTCCCCCTCTCAGAAGCAGAGACTGCGCCAAGGGATGGTGCTTTGCGGGCGCCTGCGCAATGCCTCAGCTTGAAGGACTTCGCTGGGTCTTAACGCCCGCAGCGGAATCCTGGCTACGCTGGTTTGTGGCACTTGTTGAGGTGGTCATGAAGAAGGAAGGGTATTTGCTCTTCATGCTCTTCAACCACAGAAGTTTGAGACTTTTTGCTGTGTCAGTGGGCTTCCGTCGTTGGAACCAGTTAAACCAGCCTGGAATGGCGGTTAGGCTGCTGCGTGGTGGGGTGTGCGCCCGGCTTTTGACTGGGTGAGGAGAAGCGCCTCGCCTGCCAGAGGACACTTGTTTGAACTCTGCATCGGGACAGTCCGTCCAGTTCTTAGTAAGGGTGTTGGTTCTTGGCAGGGGCAGAGGGCCCGCTGTCTTCTACCACCGGCAGGACTACACCTGAATTAGAGCTAACTAGTCTCACGATTAGTTTGCAGTTAAGGGAAAGTGAGTTTCCTCCCGAAGTCCTTCGCAAAGGCTTGAAGCATTGTTCTGCTGATGCATCCTGAAGGCTGGAAACCAGGGCTTTCTGTCTTAGGGGAAAGATGAGTTTGTAAGGGATGATCCTTCATGGTCACTTCATTCCCATCTGTCACAGTCTCTGTAGAACTTCCTACCATTGGGATTGAGCACTCCAGTCCCTCTCTGACACTTGATCGCAGGCGATCTACATTATACATAAATCTACATTGTACCTGATTCCTGCCCTGTGACGGTCAGCCTCCCCACAGGGCAGCCTCCCCCAAGTGGTTATCAGCATCCCAAAAAAGCTCGGTTCCCATATGGGAATAGAACAGTCTGCCCCGACCACATCGAGTGGGGAGCCTCTGCAAACCTGTTGGTCACGATTCTCTTAGCCTCTGATGACACTAGTATGGCCCAGACATGGCCGCTGTTCCAAAGTAGGCATCAGGGATTCTGTGCCCAAAATTGCTGTGTGGACGGCTAGAAGCAGAGGTAGGGAAGGTTTTTATGGAGGTTATAACTGATAATCATGTTTTCTGTAATATCAAGTGCCCTGTCCCCAGTAGAAATAAATGAAATCAACAGAGGGGCTGGAAGGAAGCAAAGGAGGTAAACTGAAAAAGCCAGAGCTGGCCGAAGGAAGGTTCAGGTTTCATTTAGGGCCATGATTATGCAGCTTTTGCTTAAGTGCTGTGAGCAGAAGAGCCTTCCAGAGGGTGAGCCAGTTCATTGATCTAGGTGGGCTAGTTTGCGTGAGCATAGAACTCAGTTGTTGGCTGCCTCCTGATCTTGTTGGTTCCTGTCGTTTAAGCCATGGAGCATAATCATTGTGTCTGTCAAATGATGTTTCAGGGATGGAGATGTATTCCAGGCGACCAGTGAGCCCAGGAGGACTTGACTTGCAATTCAGGTAGAGTTTCCATCTCCTGATAATATACTTGTGTGTGTGTGTGTGTGTGTGTGTGTGTGTGTGTGTGTGTGTGTGTGTGTTTTGGGGCAGGAACTGTGTGGTACCTGTTTTTTTCCTGTAAGGGGGGAGCTTGGCAAGAATGGCTTTAGAGGACAGGCACCAGTCGATTCTGAAGCTGAAGCGGTGCTGCCAAATGAGTGCTGGAAAGATGGAGAGCCTTGAGTTGGCTGGCCTCACTGCAACTGTTGATAGCACGACCTTTCTCTAGACTTCAGAAATGGGAGCGAGGCTCATGTTAGCACTAAACCATGCATGTCCTGTAGTGATTAGGCAACTTCTAAAACTGTAGTGACTCAGTTGGGCATTTTCCACATGACACTGAAAGATCTGCCCAACACGGGACCTGCTTACCAAGACTGGGAGGGGCTGCCCGCGGTGGTTGTGTGGCGTGATAAGCAATTCTCTGCACACAAAACAAGGCCAAAACTGGACAGGCGGCAGGTGGTTCTCCTTGCAGTTTGTACATGCCAGTTAAGACACGTGGATCCCGTGTGGAAGTTCCTGAGTTCAGTGTGGGGCTCAGACTCAACACTCTAGGTTCCTGCTGATGTAGATTTCCCCTCCGTGTCTCCCTCTCTGACTCCCTTCCCCTTCTCCCAGTCTTTTTCTCCCTCTTCTTCCCCACCTCAATCTCTAGCCCCCTCCACTCTCCCCCCCCCCACCTTTTTTTTTCCTCTCTGAACTTCCCTTTTGATAGACACATTGGACACAACCATGTCAGAATGTTGTGAATCACCAAAAAGAAAAAACAATTAGGGAAACCTCTGTACTGAAAAGACTACTGTGACTTCAGTGGGAACAGTGCATGTCTGTGGACCTCTAGTTGAGCTGCTGCTTTCCTCCTGTTCTACTCTGTTGAACCTGAGATTCGGTTTATTGATGTGGGCAGTAAAGTGTCACACCAAATCCATATATACATATATACCTACACACACACACAAAAACATATTATATATATAGTGGTTTTAGTGCTAGAGAGATACACTCAGTTTATTGTGAGATTTCAAAAACTCAAATATTGCCTTTCTTTCTTTCTTTCTTTCTTTCTTTCTTTCTTTCTTTCTTTCTTTCTTTTTTCTTTCCTCTTCCTTCTTTCCTTCCTCACTCCCTCCCTCTCTCCCTTCCTTCCTTTTTAGAATGATTTATTTATTTCTGTTGGATACGCAGGTCATATCTACAGAGAGAAGGAGAGACATGAAATAAAATTTCATCCATTGATTCATACCCCGGTTGGCAACAGCAATTTGAACTGAGCTAATCTGAAGCCAGGAACCTCTTCCTGGTCTCCCACAAAGGTGCAGGATCCTAAGGCTTTGGGCCGTCTTCTGCTGCTTTCCCAGACCATAGCAGGGAGCTGGGTGGGTAGCGGAGCATCCAAGACGACAACCAATGGCCATATGGGATCATGGCACTAGCAAGGTGAGGATTTAGCCATTGAAGCATTGTACTGGCACTGCCACACTTTAAATTATTAAGCCTTTTCAGTGAATGTTGATGTGTTAATTTGTGTCCAAAGCAAATTTTTTCTAAGCTGTCCTTTGTTATATTACTACTTAATACCTCATGGTATATAAATTATGATGTGGGACTGATCTCTTCAATCTTATCAGCATTGTGCGGGATCAAACCAGGATCGAGTTGGACCTTTCTATTTCATTTTGCTTTTAAATTTCTCTCTCTTTTTTCACAACAGAACTGATTTTCTCACAGCTCTAGAGGCTGGAAATCGACAGTGTGGGTGCTGGAGAAATTTTTGTGATCTCTAAAGCTTAGAGTTACTGACACAGTAAGGGGAGAAGATGTATTGTTGTTTGCTAGTAGAAATTAATCAGGCCTGACACAGTAGCCTAGTGGCCAAAGTCCTCACCTTGCACACACCGGGATCCCATATGCGTGTGGATTTGTGTTCCAGTGGCCCTGCTTCCCATGCAGCTCCCTGCTTGTGTCCTGTGAAAATAGTGGAGAACAGCCCGGAGTTTGGGACCTGCACCTGTGTGGGAGACCCAGAAGAAGCTCCTGGCTCCTGGCTTTGGTTCAGCTCAGCTCCGGCCATTGCAGCCACTTGGGGAGGGATCCAGTGGATGGAAGATCTTCCTTTCTGTGTCTCCTCTCTGTATATCTGTTTTTCCAATAAAATTAAACCTTAAAAAAGAAATTAAAGTTATTCCTCTGCACTTTCTGCTTTTCGGTAGCTGGATGGATGAAGTAAGGAATCTAGAGTTTTAGAAAATACCCCTTGCTAGCAGAGCAAAGGTGAGAGGTATCAGTTACCTTGGATATGTGATGATGCCTGCAAGGTGCCTGTGCAGGTACCAGTGCCTTCCACCTCTGCCTCGATTTCAAGCAGCCAATAGACATCATCCCCTCTACACTCCGTAGAGTCCTGTGATTATTAATGCAGTGTTAACTACAGCTGAGGAGTAGAAATGTCTTGAGTATGATATTTGATAGACATGTACCACCTTGGTTCTTTAATGTTTATTTTGTATGCTTTCAATTGATTTTAAACATTTACTTTTTTATTGAAAGGCAACTTTCTGGAGAGAAGGAGAGACAGAGAGAAAGATCTTGTGTGCACTGAGTCACTCCCCAAGTGTCTGCAATAATAGCTGCATCTGAACCAGTTGATGCCAGTAGCCAGGCGTTTCGTTTCGGTCTCCCATAGGAGTGCAGAGTTCCAAGGCTTTGGGCCATCCTCTACTGCTGTCTCAAGCCACAAGCAGGGAGGTGACAGGGAAGCAGAGCAGCCAGAACACAAACTGGAATCCATTTGGGATCCCAGTGGAGGCATGGCAAGGATTAAGTCACTAGGCTATCTTGCTAGACCCTTGAGTTGTTTTGTTTGTTTGTTTGTTTGTTTGTTTTAGCTTAGGGATACTTTCTTACGTGGCTGTGCTTTCTCAGCATAGTGCATTGATCCTAGGTAAATAAATACTGGAGGGAAGAAGAATGGAAGTCCCATGGAGTAAAACAAATCACTCCATTTGTTTCCCTAAGATCATATATTTGATACATACCAAGAATAAGGAAGTATTCTGTGGGCTTTTATACTCTGTACTACTTTATTTTACTGTTAAAAAGGAGGTTTCGTGTTTTTTGTTTGTGTTTTTTGGAAATTCAGATATGCAGATTTATACAGAGAAGGGGAGACAGAGAGGAAGATCTACTGGTTCACACCCCAAGTGACCACAATGACTAGAGCTGACCTGATGCAAAGCCAGGAGCCTGGAGCTTCTTCCGAGTCTCCCTCATGGGGACAGTGTCCCAAGGCTTTGGGCCATTCTCTACTGCTTTGCCAGGTAATAAGTAGGGAGCTAGACTGTAAGTTGAACAGCCAGGACACAAACAGCCGGTTGCTAGGCTGTCATTTGATGCCAAGTTGCTTAATTTCTGAAGACATTTGCTGGTGTTCTGTCTCCAGTGCGGTGGGGTGAGCCTTTGAAGAAGCCATTCTGTGCAGTTCTTCCTGGAGGAGCCTGACTGTGGCTTCTTTGTCTACCAGTGGTTGTTTTTAGCTTTTCTATCACTTCTTGGAGGGATTTTGAAGGTTGGCTTAAGGTAACATGTTCTGTCATCTGTGGAGACTCTTATAGGCATGTTTTCCTCCTGGAGGCCTCTAGTAACACTTGGAGGTGTCTTAACCAGATCTTCTTTGTTTGAAGACAATTGCCCATGAGTTCCTAGGACCTGAGTGAATTCCTCTTCAAAATTTGTGCTTGTCAGGTTAGCATCTTTGACATTTTGTGCCATGTCAGACTCATCTGACACTGACATCCCATAAGGGCAGCAATTGCAAGTCGTGGTTGTGGTATTTCCCATGCAGCTCTCTGCTAATGTGCCTGGAAAAAACAGCAGAAGATGGCCCAAGTGCTCAGGCTCCTGCACCCACATGGGTGACCCACAGGAAGCTCCCGGCATCAGTCTGGCCCAACTCTGACCTTTGTGGCCATTTGGGAAGGGAACCAGCGCAAGGTGACTTGAGTATTTGGGTCCCTAGTACCCAAGTGGAAGACCTAGATGGAGCTCGTGGCTCCTGGCCTGGCCTGGCATGGCTCAGCTCTGGCAGTTGAGGGCCCTGGGAGAGTGAACCAGCAGTTGGAGAGTCTCTATCTCTGCTCTTCAGAAATAGTAGTAGTATTGGTAGTAATAGCAATTACAATCTGCATATACTCTGGTTTCTCTTCAGACTGTATACATCTTTCGCCTTTTTAAAAAGTCTGCATATGTTCAGGAAACATGTAATAAAATGTGTCATTTAGCTAGATTTTGTTCCTGTTTGTATTAGCTGCATAAGAAAGTCTTAAACAGGATCATAAGACAGGAAAGCCTGGCTGAAATCTCCTGAGAAGTGGTGCCGGAGCTGTTGGGCCCACTGTCCAAGCAGAGAATATTAGGTGGAAAATCAAGGTCGCTGCATGGAGCTAAAGGTTGGGCTGGAAATGCTGTCCAAGCAGCCTCTGTCTTCTGGGAATTATGAATCTCTCTCTTTCTCAACTTTGTCTCTTTAAAAGAGCAATGAGAGAATAGGAAAAAGGGCCCAGTGTGACAGCTCAATGGCTAAATCCTCACCTCGCATGTACCAGGATCCCATATGGGCACTGGTTTGTGTCCTGGTTGTTGTACTTCCTATCCAGCTCCCTGCTTGTGGCCTGGGAGAACAGAAGAGGATGGCCCAAAGGTTGGGATCCTGCACATTCGTGGGAGACCAGAAAGAAGTTCCTGGCTGCTGGCTTTGGATCAGCTGGGTTCCTGCTGTTGCGGCCACTTGGGGAGAATGAAAGATCTTTCTATGTCTTCTCTCTGTAAATCTCCCTTTCTAATAAAAATAAACCATTAAAAAAAAAAACCTGCACGGGCTTGCAAAATGAGACAGAAAGAAGGAAGGACCCATTATTCATTGGTTCTAGAGGTCCTATCATCATTCATTTTTTCTCAAAATAGAACCTGACATGACTGAGGGCTACCATGGGTGCTTGGGTCACTTGCGTGGGTGGCACTGTGCTCTGGGCACCTGCCTGGTCCTCAGTTGCTGGCTATCAGTTCTTTGTGTGCACCTGTCATAACCTTTCAGTTGGTGGCGAGATGAGGACTGCAGCACAATGGGAGTAGGGGGTTACTCATGAGACCGTCTGTTTTCACTGTGCCTGATGCGGTATGCTGAACAAGAGTGAGAGAATAGTGGAGGGGATTCAGAAGGTGTGTAAGGGCCAGCTGCACTGTAATCACATTAGTGAATCACTTAACCTGTGTGCTGAAACATGGTTGTCCTAATTGTTAGTATTCATTGGATCAGAGAGACAGTTCAAAAGTCAAACCTGTGGCTGCTAGATACGACAAGTGCAGCGAGTTTTTCTAAATAGTTGCAAATCAGCTTTAGAATTGGCAGTGTGTTTTCTCTGAAATCCTTAGGGATTTTGTTTTGAAATGCCGAATAGAAGATACATTGTGAATGCTGAATTTGGAACATCTTGTGTTTATTGAACATGGTGCAAAGTACCTCATTGCTTTGTTTTGAGGGCTACCACTTCCTTGATAATGATGTAAATTTGATACCCCCCAGACAAGATGATCTTTGTCATAATACAGAGTGGCTACAAAACCCATGTTCCCTTCATCCACTAATTCTTTCATTTTTTTTTTATGAGATACATTTTTGGTAGCTTAGGGGTTCATTCTTTCTCCTTCACGTTTCTCCATTCCCATTTTTCCCCTCCTGCCATTTCCCCCCATATTATTGCAAGAATATAGAATTATGCTTCCATTAGATTCAGGGTTTCTAACTACAATCTACAGGGACTCTATCCCATTCTATAGGGGGAAAAGCAGGAGGAAGTTCAACAACCTTTTTTAGACTGTTTAACTTAATTTCTCCTGCTCAAACTATTGTTGCACAACATTGAGCAGTTCAGGTGCAAAATCTGGGTTCCATGCCACAAAGTGAGTGGGTTCACCTGCAGCTGCTGTAGCTCCCAGCAGGGTTTTGTGCAGGTGGAGGAGGCTTGCTGGATGTCTCTTGTGCATGAGCAGACATTGGTGGCAGTGTCTCAGCTTTGTGGAGGCTGCTCCTCCTGGTGGGTGCAACACACAGCACTTAAGACCTGAGATGCTGAGCAACCAGGGCTATGTCTAGGAAAAGGCTTCTTCCGTAGCATGCAGAAAAAGGGAAATGATTTTGTGTAAGATCCAACCTGTGTTCTGAGCACAAGAACACAGCCACTTTGTCCTGAGTGATACCACAGTATGGTCTACTGTTAGTATTTTTGTGGGAGGCCATGGATCTGTGCTGGACACGTGCACGGAACCCAACAGGCAAACAGTGAATAATATAATGACAATGTGTTGGTTTTGGAAGTCCACATGGCTTATTACCAGGTCCAGCTGTCAACAACTTGTCAGGCAGTGACAAATGGACTAGGCTGTAGACAGTTCAGTTGTTCTCAACAACCAGCTCCTGTTCTCATAAATGGTGTCTAATGGAGTTGGTTAGTGTTGTCAGCTGCTCTTGTTCTGGGAGCTGGCTGAGTTTCAAGGAACTCTGATTACTTTGCACTGCTTGAATGATCTTGGCCCCTAAAAGTGTTGTGTTTCCTGGGTGGGCAGTGTCAGTGCTGGAGGGCTGTGTGAGGTGAGCAAGTGTAGGAAACCTCACAGTGGTCTTTGGTAGAGGATGCATTCATCTGCTTTTTTCTTATCCTTTTTATTCTGCAGGTAGAAAATTCCATATAGTGACTGAACTGTGTTGTTCAGGTTTCTGACATGTGATCATGGAAAGAGTTGCATGGTTTTATTTTGTGATTAAGTTTCTTTTTGAAGAAAAAGTTCTCTGATTATTAACTGATCAGCATTACACATTATTTTAAATCAATTTGACCAATTATTTTCATGGGAAGTGAGCACAAGAGGAACATTTCAAATGCATGTTTTCCTAACTCTGAGGAATTTTATCATGAGAAGGTGACAGCTTGCATTGTTAGCAGTTTGATTATTGAACCTTGGCTGTCAAGTTGCAGTTTTGTCCATTTTTCCTTCTATCAGCCATGTTTTGAAGCAGTTGAATTTTGAGAATTGATTCCATGGAATTTAAAATGGAGCATGTGTAATGCCTGCTTTTTGAATATTGAGTCAGATAACAGTATAGGACCTACTGATTATGGCAAAACTTGTGCACAATTTGTACACAATTCTAGTTCTTTCGAATTGGAACTTTTTCCTTTACAAAATTAAGGGTTCTTTGTTCTGTGAATCAAAGGAACATAACACATGGAAAACCAAGTATTTGCAATTAAATAACTATATCATGGACTATGAAATCATTCTGATTGAATCATGGTTTGCTGAACTCATAACTGTATTGTACATGTATGTTGATTCTCAGTGAGTTGTGACAGTTGCCCATCCTTTCGTTTTTTATTCAGAGAATGGACACTGTGCTGACCCTACAGCTATGCAAGCTACTACTCACCATGAACATGTTGACATTTGGAAGTTTCCTTTGAAGCAAAATGTGGATGTAGAGGCAGAGGTACCTAAACTGAGCTTGGGAAAATATTTTAGGTAAACTGTCATGACCTGAAAAACTTAGATGTGAGATGAAGTTTCATTCTTCGTATTTATCTAATGCTCTTGTGATTGAAAATGCAATTTGCTAGAAGACAACTTGCTTGTGTGTGACCCCGGGGTAGTGTAGGCATAGGCCTTGTAGAAGGCACGAGTTGAATTCCTGCTCCTGTGGTAGAGGCACCTTGCTATTGGAAACCCTGTGGGGTCCACTCAGGAATGTCCCGAGGGTAGTTGAGCAGTGTGGAGTGTGGAGTTTCAGGCCAAGTGTTTTATGATAACTGTGCTTTTCTTCCTTTTTTTTTTTTTAAAGATTTATTTTAATTTTTATTGGAAAGGCAAATATACAGAGAGGAGGAGAAACAGAGAGGAAGATCTTCTGTCCGATGATTCACTCCCCAAGTGAGTGCAACGGCCGGTACTGCACCGATCCAAAGCCAGGATCTGGAACCTCTTCCAGGTCTCCCACATGGGTGCAGGGTCCCAAAGCTTTGGGCCGTCCTCGACTGCTTTCCCAGGCCACAAGCAGGGAGCTGGGAAGTGGAGCTGCTGGGAATAGAACCAGCACCCATATGGGATCCCGGGGTGTTCAAGGGGAGGTACTTTAGCCACTAGGCCATGCTGCCGGGCCCTTTTCTTCCTTTTTCTTTTTGAGTTAACATTCATGTAATTTTATCTTTTTCACTTAATGTGGGTCTTTGAAGAATTACAGTGCATTTATGATTGTATTGTTCATAGTATGAATTTCAACATACTCATTGTTGCATCTTGCTTGGTTGAGAATGTAGGAGCCCAGTGTGCATTGTAAGGTGTTCTGTTTTGATAAAGAGAGAAGGACACATTTTATTGCTCTGTAAATGGGAAACAAGCACTTCATTTGGTTAGTAATTGTTTGATTTGAGGGAATGAAGTAAAATTCCCTGAGTTGAATCTCATTTTTTATTTAGTTAATCCTGAAATTGCAACATGTACTAAAGCATTGAAATGCTTTTAGTTAATAAGGAAGTTAACTGCTTTTAAAGCCACTCGTACTACTTCATAAAAGTAGTATGAAAAGACTACTGTGACTTCCAGTGGGAACAGTGCATGTCTGTGCACCTCTGCTTGAGGCTGCTTCTTTCCTCCCGTTCAATGTGTTGAACTCGAAATTTGGTTTATTGATGTGGGCAGTAAACTGTCACCCCTCCCGAAATATATCTAGTGGTTTTACTGCCAGAGAGATGCACTCAGTTTATTGTGAGATGTCAAAAACCCAAATATTATCTTCCTTTCCTTTCCTTTCCTTTCCTTTCCTTTCCTTTCCTTTCCTTTCCTTTCCTTTCCTTTCCTTTCCTTTCCTTTCCTTTCCTTTCTTTCCTTCTTTCCTTTTTATAAAGATTTATTTATTTTTATTGGAAAGGTAGGTCAGCTCAACAGAGAAGGAGCAAGAGAGAGAAAAAAAAAAACTTCATCCATTGAGTCACACCCCAGTTGGCAAACTGAGCTGAGCTGATCTGAATTGAGGAGCAAGGAAAGAGAAAGGTGAAGAGATGAACAGGTGTCTTTCACGTGCTTGTTCACTCCCCCAATGCCTGCAGAGCCAGCACTGCCTGAGGCCAAAGCCTGGAACTGAAAGGCCCTGTGGGTGTTGTGCATGGATGACAGGGACTCCAATCCCTGCAGCATCATCTGTTGCTTGCCAAGTATGAGAGGTTGAAGCTGGATTGGAAGTAGAAGCAGGTCACAACCGCATGCAGTTATTTGGGGTAAGTCCCACGCATAGCTCAAGCTGCTGTGCTACAATGCTTGCATCTGTTTTGTGTTTTAAAACCATAATGGGCAGATGGAATTTTTTCAATGGTTTATTTATTTTAATTGTTAAAATTATGCAGAGAGGAGGAGAGACAGAGAGAGAGAAAGATGTTCCATTCAGTGATTCACTCCCCAAGTGACTGCAACAGCCAGTGCTGTGCCGATTAGAAGCTAGGAGTCAGGACCTTCTTCCAGGTCTCCCACGTGGGTGCAGGGTCCCAAGGCTTTGTGCTGTCCTTGACTGCTTTTTCAGGCCTCAAGCAGGGAGCTGGATGGGAAGTGGAGCTGCTGGATTAGAACTGTTGCCCACATGGGATCTTGGCGCATTCAAGGTGAGGACTTTAGCTGCTAGGCCACCACCCTGGGCCCTCAGAAGGAATTTGTAAAAGCAAACAAATCAACAAAGAAACAAACAAAAAACAGTGGAATAAGAAAAGAGAGATTTATACATCAGTTTAATCTTGTAAAAGTGATAAATTTGTAACTTGATAGCCAGTGTTGTGGCAAAAAGGGTAAAGGCTGCTGCCTGCACAGCCAGCACTCCATATGGTCTCTGATTGGAATCCCAACTGCTCCCCTTGGAATGCAGTCCTCTGCTGATGTGTTTGAGAAGCCAGTGGAGGATGTCCTGAGTGCTGAGTCCTCTGCACCCCAGTGGTGGACCTGGATGAAGCTTCCAGTTTGGGTGAGGCCCTTTTCGTCTCATTGGGATTATGTGGGGAGTGAACCAAGGCAGAGAAGACCTCTGTCTCTTTTCTCTCTCCCCCTCTCGGTGGCTCTGACTTTCAAATAAATACAAATCAACCCATCAAAATACATAAACTCAACTAGGGTTTGAGACTACAGTAAACTTTCATCAGTCCCTTTTAATAGTGTAATTAATATTGGCCAGAGGGGCATGTTTGAAAAAGTCTGGAGACTTCAAGTTTTTTTTAAGACAGAGAGAGAGAGGGAGAGAGGGAGAGAGAGATGAAGAGAGTTTACATTTGCTGGTTCACACACCAAATGTCTGCTGTGGCTGTGGCTGAAGGCTAGAACTGGGAATGCCGTCGAGGGTTCCAGCCCTTGAGCCTTCCCACACTGCCTCTCCTGAACTGCATTAGCAGGGAGCTGGAATCTAGGAGCTAGAGCTAGAACTGCAATCCAGGAACCCTGCTGTGGGATGCAGGCATCTTAACTGCTGGACGAAAGGCCCACCCATTTACATCTTTTTAATTTTGTGCTTGAGTGATGGTATGCTGTGGACATCTATTGGCTGGAAACCCCTGTGCACTACTTTCCCAGACCCAGGAAACAGACTGGTGCTTATATGGGATGTTGTCGTTTGGAATGAAGGATGAGCTTGAGCCATGGCACCAACCCAATAGATTGAATTTCACATTCACATAGTGCACTTGAGACATTTATCTTTTTTGTTTTTGCATCTGTAGTTTTTCTCTTCTGTTTCTTCCATTGTGTTTAGGTTAAATTGTCAGAAAACATCGATTATAATTTAAGGTTGATGAAAGCTGCTTTAAACAGAATTAATACTAGTTTTTGTCATAGAACACAAGCTTTAAGCAATGATATTAATGTCTAAAAACGTTGGAGGAGAGAAATTTTAATGTATGTAGCCTTTAGTTTCTTCATTTGGGAGAATAAAGGACTGGAAAGTGAAGGAAGGCAAATACTTAAGTTACCATTTAGTGTTCGGCATCCTGGGTGTTTATGATATTATTCCCTGTGTTTATTCTTTATTAACCCTTTCTTTGTACCTGGCAGAGACAAAGTAGTTTTTGAGTGAAGAGATGTCAGTTCTGCCTGATTCTGCTTATTTCATTGATGAAATGAAATGTGAGAAGCACTTTTATCACTGTACAACTGAGTGGGAATGGGCAGGTGGTCTTAAAGTTTGGCCAATTTTAAGAGGAGTCTTTTTATTAAATGTAAACCAGACCTCAGCATAGCAACCAGCAGAATGGCTATGAGGTACCTGTGATTCCTGGGAATTGATGATAACTAGGATGCAATTAGAGCCTTCCCGAACTTTCTGCTTTAAACAACAACACAACAAAAACTGGTACTGTTAATAATATGAAAGCTTATAAGATGGATGAGTATTATGAATATTAATGAGACCCAAGGAAGAGTTTTTCAGTGTCTCTTGATAAGAAGGTAGACTAAAATCTGAGTTCCCCAAATTTGAAAAGGGAACATAATTGTAGTGCTGCAGTCTTGCCTTACTCAGGAATGCTTTCATTTTCTCAGATTGAGGAGTATTGCCGATCTCTTTTTTGTTCTTCATTTTCTCCACTAAGTCAGTTTGTCCTGCCCTTTAAAGGTTTTCTAGAATTCTGAAAGCATGATCCTTCCTGCTGCCAGCACCATGGTGTTTTCAGCTCTTGTCTTTCCTCACGGCTTTCCCGCCAATTGTCTTCAGATATTTCCTCCAATCTTCTCTGGGAGATTTCCCCCTTAGCTCTCCTTTGTAGTTGTTCAACAGAGGCATGTTTGCTGTGACTGCACTCGAGGATTCAAGCAGAGGAAGGATGAGCATGGCTCAGGGATACTGACCTAGCGTATCCTCTGTGGTTCTGGGGCCGTTGACCATAACACTGGTGGTTCCATCAGCTAAGATGGGGCATTACTGGGATGAGATCAGGTTTTGAAGAATTGAGAGACAGAAGAGGGGAGAAGAAAAGAGAGTCAAGATCAGTGTTGTATACAGTCTGTTTACAAATATTTTGAGAAAACCTTGGGAAGGTCATCTGTAACCTGGTCTCTTCAAATCCTCATTTGGTATCAGCAACTGAGAAAGGCTGTATGCTACTTGTGTTTCAGATGTTTAAGATAGATTCAGAAGAACGTAAAAACTTGCTAAATTAAGGTCTTAGTGCACCTGTACTTCTTTAATCTAGAATAGACACGTGGAAATAAATTTTCTGTAATTTCTTATGTGTTTGTGTATGTTCTATACTCTTCTAATATAATCTCTCTCTCTTTTTTTTTTAACAGTTTGAGTGTCTCTGGATGCAACATGGAGTTTCAGAACCCTTGCAAATAGGAATTCCATCAGCAGCTGGCATTCGGGATTGGGAACCCCTCAAGGATGCTACTTTCCTGCCTCCCTTTTCAAACATCGTTTTTGTGAGTGGAACATTATAAGCAGCCTCTTTTATGTGTGAATTCACTGAGCAATTTGAGAATTGTAAAGATGTATCATTTTACTGGTTTATGTTCCATTATATCTTGCATTTGCCAATTCTTAAGCATATACAAACCTATACTAATCCCTTACTGATTTTGTTGTTGTACTGCTGAAATGGGTGTAAGTTTTTGTTGCTGAAAAGGCATTCCAAAATGCTTTGTGTCCTATTGTGTTACTTCTGTCAAATTGTTCAAATTGTTTCAGTGTCTCCTAGTATTAGTTTGATGGCTCACAAATGATGAGAAAGATCAAATAGTCCCTTCCTACACTATAGATAGCAATATTGGTGATGTGCATTTCACTATTGGTCTGATCCTAGATTAACCTGGGCTTACTATTGATTGATGGAGTTAGTCACTATTCAGGGGATGATGTGATGGCAGGCAGGTGCTTCAGTCCTGGCCAGAGCAGCCAGGCCATAGTTTCAGCTCTCATGCACAGCAGTGGACGCAGCAGCCCAGCCAGGTCCATCACCAGAGCTGAGGTGATGTGAAGCCATGATGCAGCAGCTTTTTGCGGGCCTCAGGTGCAGGTGCAGGTTTTAAGACTTTGTGCCTTGCTCTCCTGCTTTCCCTGCTGTCCCTCCAACAGGGAGCTGGATGGGAAGTGGAGCAGCCAGGAAACAAAGCGGCATCTATATGGAATTGTGGTGCATGCAAAGTGAGGATGTGTCTGCTAGGCCATTGGGCCAGGCTGGAAAGCAGTTGATGTTTTAAAGATTGACTGCCTTCCCCCACTTGAGGAGCCTGGGAATTGAGCGATAGCTGAGGACTCCATGATCTTCATGTTTCACATGAATGTTTTTAGCTGATCATTGTTTGAGGAGCCAGCACTATGGCCTGGCAGGCTAAAACTCCCTGTGGCACCTGTACTGCACATTGGGGTCCACTCAAAAAGTGGCAGTGGCTCCACTTGCAAATCAGCTCTCTGCTGTTGTGCCTGGGAGAGCATCAGAGTGTGGTTCAAGTGCTTGCACTGCTGTACTGCTGGGTGACAGAGCAGGAAGATGCTCCAGGCCACTGGTATCAGATTGACCCAGCTCTGGCTTTTGTGGCCCTTTGCTGAGTGAACCAGTGGAAGGCAGATCTCTGTCTCTCCATTAGATTTCTCCTTTGAAAGCTGAAATCAAATTGTTTGACATTTTGTTGTTGCTGCTGTGCTGAAATTCATGCAATGTTTATGTTGCTGAAGAAGAAGCTTTTTGGAACACTTTGTGTTCTAATCTTTGAATGTCCTCTACTATTGGTATGCTGGCTGACAAGTTAGAAGTAGGAAAGATCAAATGATTTCCATTGCTATAATACAAACAATATTGATTGTGTATTTCACTGTTGGTCCAATCTTATGTTAACCTGGGCTTTCTATTTCTCTATGGAGTTAGCCGCTGTTGAGGGCATGAGTTTGTTGGCTCTCCTCTGTCTCCTGAAACTTACCTGGTACTTGGTGCAGGATGGCAGCTTGTTTTTGCCTGTAAATTATTTACAAATTCGAATGTGAATGAAAAAGTTTAGGATAAACATGGAGCCCTTGGACATGGAGGTGCGGTTTTAGCAGCACACCACTTGGCTGTGCTGATTTGAATACTCATAAGAAGCGCCAAAGGAAACCACTTCCTGTTGCAGTTAAGAAAGTTCATGTTGAGGTTGTGAATACATGATTGGAGTTTGAATTTCATCTGGCCTCCAGGTGAAAACCTTTCCAGAGATGTTCTGCTGGGATTGTTAGGCTCCTCTGAAAGGGAAATGCTAAGTCCTGTAGCAGGGCACATGGAAGTAAAGGACATGATCAAGTGGCAACCATTCCTTCTCAGAAGGCCCTGACTTTAGATGTTTTTAATTCATATTTTACTTGTAATACTGATTACATAGTTGAGAGGAATGCATGCCCATGTGGTCCTTGGATTCGGTGGGGAGGGTTGAGGTATGGAGGTAGGTGGGTGGAACAACTGTCTCAGCTCTTGTTCTGTGTTTTCCTCCTGTGTCCTGTGTTGGTGAAGGGAAGGAGATGGCTGCTTTTGGTCCAAGCACATCAGTGCCTGGGCGGGGTTGGGGATGGTGATGGGATGATGCCTTAGAGACCCCAAGGTGGGGAAGCATGTTGTGAGCGTGTTCCTTGAGTGGGTTTGCCGTTTCTGAGACATTGTGAGTTTTGTTGCGGCTTGGTCAGGAACATCTTTTCAAGGTGTGCTGGCTGTCCAAGTGAATGCCAGTGCATCCACAAATGCTAGGGCTTGGTGCCAGCTGTGATGGATCTGTAGCCTTCTAGAATCCTTGGAGGAAGGTTCTAGCGGTGGGAGGTAGTTGAGGCTATAGAATGGTAGGCTGAGTCTCAGCCTGATGTGTTGGCCTCTTGTAAGAGTGCCAGTTGGTGTGCCTCTTGCAGGCTAGCTCCCCGCTGATTGCCTGGGAAACAGCAGAGGATGGCTTAAGGCCTTGAGCTCCTACACCCACCAGGAAAACCATGAAGAAGCTTCTGGGTTCTTTTTTCAGATTGATTCATCTCCAACCATCACTGCCATTTTCGTAGAGAACCATTGAATAGAAGGATCTCATAGTCTCTCCATCCCTCTCTGTTGTACTTTAGCATTTCAAATGGAAAGCAATGAAAAATAAAGAGATATGTTTCCAGGAAAGTTAGGTTTCCCGGAGATGGAGAGACAGTGAGCAAGCTCTTCTGTCCTCTGGTTTGCTCCCCATGCGTCTGCAATGGCCACGGCTAAGGAGACACACCTGAAGGCAGGAGCCAAGGCTTATTTGGGGTGCAGCATGCGGATGAGTGTTCCCAAGATGTAGTGCCTTCTGCTACTGCTCTTCTGGTCAAGAAGTAGGGAACTGGGTGGGAAATGAGAAGTGGAGTAGCTAGGACACGAAGCAGTGCCTGTGTGGGATCCTGGCACACACAAAGTGAGGATTTAGCCACTAGGACATTGGGCCAGGACCAAGAGCAATTCATCCTTAAACAATTGATTACCATTTCCCACCCTCCTGTCATTGAAGAAGATAGGATTTGAGCCTTTGCTGTGGACTCACTGCCCTGCATGGTACACATGCATTTTTTTTAGAAGAGATTTGAGGAGCCAGCAGTGTGGCCTGGGAGGCCAGGCCTCCCATGGGAGGTGGTTCTTGAGTGGCATCAGCTCCAATTAGAAATCAGCTGTCTGGTGTTGTGCTGGAGAAATCCTCAGAGTGTGGTTCCAGTCCTTGCACACCTGCACATGCGCAGGAGACTCAAAGGAAACTCCAGTCCCCTGGCTTCAGAGTGTCCCGGATGTCCCAGATGTGGCCATTTGGGGAGTGATCGAACAGGTGATGGAAGATCTTTGTCTCTCCTACTCTCCCCGTGAACCTGCCTTTCAAGTATAAAAACACAAAAGCAAAACCAACAAAAGGTAGATGTTGGTCATGAGAAAATGATCCTTCTGGGAATGGCAGAATGACAGGGAGTGAAAGAGAGACAGAGATGTAGCATGTGCTGGGTCAGTCTTGAATGGAAGGCAGGGCAGGGGCTGTGCTGAGCCAGAGTGAAGCCAGGGGTCAGGAGGGTTTTCCAGGTCTCCCATGTATTGAGCCGAGTGGCCAGGGACCTAGTTGATTTTTTTTTTCTACTTGGCCATGCCAAGGATCAGGGAGCTGGATTACAAGCGGTGCAGCTGGGACTAGACAGTGCCCATGCACGAGGCTGGCATCCAGGGAGATGTCTGCATGATGTATGGTGACATTGTGCTGGTCCCCAGGAAGTCCTACTGTCTGTCCTCCCCTCTTCCCCTCCCATGCCACACCCACCCTCAAGCACAAATTGGTTGTGGAAGGGTTCTACAGATACTCCTCCCAGCAGTTTCAGGATGTAAGAAACTTTATTAGGACCTTGTCCATCTAGTTTTGTGGACACTTTGTCAGTCTCAAATCGGTCTCTGGAAAGTACATGGTGCTTCCATTGAAACTCTTCTGCTGCTTGTCCTGCAGTCTGCTCTTGGCCGTTGTTTTCTTCCTATGTTCTTCTGTAGACTTTTGTGATGAAGGGGTCAGCTTTCCTTCTCACTGCATGAGTGATAGGCTACAGTGCTTCTCTTTGTCTTGGGAAGCAGAGAGCTGTAATGGCCATTGTCTCTCTGCTGAGCCTCCCTCTTGAAGTGTTTGTTTATTGACGGCATGAGGCCGCCTGTGTCTGGGTCCTTTGCAATTCTTGTGTGGGTCAAACTAGCCTGTCCCAGCCATTCCTCTGCTATGAGAATGGTATGGGGTGAGCCAGTGCATCATCTTGTCTTTGTCATTGGTTTATTTTCTTGTTGGTCAGTTAAGTTGGCAGATGACATATGGCCAAATCCAAATATCTTGAAAATGTCCACTTGGACAGAGAGGAAACAACTCACTCAGTAAACCTTGCCAGGTGTCCTGAGGAAACAAAGTCTGTGTCGATGGTCCAGAAAGAGACAGCCTCACGTCAGCATCAGCTGCGTGAAGCATGTAAGGGTTGTGTTTGGGGGGTCAGTGTCAATGAATCATCCTCAGTCAGTGCTGAGGGTGGTCTTGTCATGAGTGGTGGTATTTGTTTGAGGCATGTGACTTGCCTGGTTGCTGGATGAGTGAAGGGCCGGGGGGTGGTGTTGTTGAGCCAGGGCCTCCTTAGCAAGGTTGGGGAGCAGGTGGATTGTGGGCAGAGCGCTGGGCAACCCTGTCCTGTGAGCCATGTTGGTGTTTGGGGCTGTGGGGGCGGCTGCATGGGTAGCAGCTGAGAGGCGGCTGCTGGGCTTGAGTGTCTTCTCCCTGTTGTTGGGTGTGCTCTTGGTGTTTGCATGCAGCCTGGCCCTGGGCAGCTTGCAGCCCTTGTGCCTGCCCCAGCAGCAGAGTGTAGGAATTGTGCCTTTGGCTCCAGTTAGGTGGTCGCTGGTAGTAGGGTGGGAGGCTTGGGCAGCGTTGGGGCCGGTGAGGCAGGGCCTGGCCTTCTTAGTTTCAGTAAGAGCCCTCCTTGTCCCTGGTGAGGTGAGGCTATGGGAGATGGCTCCGAGGAGCCCTGTGTCTTAGGCATGATTGGGAGCTTCCGCACTGGGCCAGGTGTCTGCTGCCGTGGAATGCAGCTGCTCTGGGGCCTGTGATGGTGGCAGCCTGCACGGCCTTCTGTCCCTGCACCATGTTGATCTGCTCATTCTTGCCATCTCCTTGGTTGGACAGGTACTTTTTGGGCTTCTTGTCCTCCATCATGGAGGGCTTCAACTCGGGCTCCAGCTCAGGCTCATGGTCTGCAGGCAGTTGCTGCTGGGTCTTGTCAGTATCGGCTTTGGCCTGGCCTCTCAGGGTGTTAGTTTCAATATTGAGGGTTGGCTGTGTCATCATGGGCTGCTTCCCGCAGTGTGTCAGTGTCACCGGGTCCTCAGCATTGGTGGGGCTGCTCAAGGCTCTGACTCCTGCTCCTGCTCTTCCTCCTGCTCCTCCGTCTCCTCTGGCTCCTCCTGCTTCTTTGGCGCCTCCTGCTTCTCTGGTTCCTCCAGCTCCGGCTCCTGCTTCAGCTCCTGATGTGGCTCCTGCTCCTCCATCTCCAGATCCGGCTTTTCCTCTTCCTCCTCCTGCTCCGGCTCCTCCTCCTCCTGTTGCTGCTTCAACTGTGGCTCCTCCTGCTCCTCCTTCTCCGGCTCCTGCTGCTGCTCTAGCTCCTCTGGCTCCAACTCCTCTTCCCCCAGCTCCTGCTCTGACTCCTGCTCCTCTGGCTCCTCCTGCTCCGGCTCCTGCTCCTGCTCCAGCTCCTCCAGCTCCAGCTAGGGCTCCAGCTCCTTCTGCTCTGGGTTCTCTTCCTCTGGCTCCAGACCCTGCTCCAATCCCTACTGCTGCTGCTCCAGCTCGGGCTCCTGATCCTCCAGCTTCTCCTGCTCCGGCTCCTGCTCCTGCTCTGGCTCCATCTCCTCCGGCTCCAGCTCCTCCTCCTACTCCTCCTGTTCCTCCTGCTCCAGCTCCTCCTCCTCCATCTCCATCTCCGTCTTCTGGTCCTCTGGCTCCAGCTATGGCTCCTGCTCTGGCTCCGGCTTGGTGCTGGTGACTGAACATGTCTTGTAAGCTTTCCAGTGCTCTCTGTAGGGCCTGTTCCTTCAGGTGTTTCTGGTGCAGGCCCAGCAGCGTTGTGTCTTTCTCCTGCTGGAGCAGAAGGATCTGCTTCAGGATGGCCTCTGTGGCACTGAAGAGCTGCTGGCATCGGTCTTCTTTTTCTCGGAGCAGCCGCTCACGAGTGTGCAGCTCCTCCCTGAGTGCACAGGCAGCCAGTGGGTCCTCTTGGATTGACATGGGCCTCTCCGTGTTGACGTAGGCCTCCTTCGTTTCCCGAACTGTGTCGGGGCTTGTCTCGTGTTCCTGTGTGCGTTGCTGAATCTCCATCTGCAGTGTGGACACGGCCTCTTCTAACTGGGTCACAGATTGCTTTAAGATTCTGTTCTCCTCCTCCTTCTGGACAAGGGTGTCCTGGAGCGTGTGCAACTGCTGAGTTTTGTGTCTGATCACCAGCCCTTTCCCTCGCATGAGCTTCTCTAGCGTCTGTTGTTTCTTCCTCATTTCCTCGAGTGCTGAAGACTCTGGGTCGTGTTGTGTCTCCAGTGACATGGTGTCAGTGGTGGAGCGTGAGAGTGTGCTCAGGGTTTGCCGTAAAGTGTCATTTTCTTTCTCTTTGTCCTCGAGGCTCTTGCGGAGAGATCGTAGCTGCTTGTTTTTTGCCTTCATGAAAATGCCTTTGGCTTTGAGTAACTTTTGCAAGAAAAGTTGTTTGCCCTCAAGTTGCTTGATCTGCAGAGACATTTGGTGGTGTTGCGTCTCGAGTGTGGTGGTGGTGTTCTTGGAAGAAGGCATTGTGTGTGTTTGTTCCAGGAGGAGCGTGGTTGTGGCTTGTGTTGGTGCGAGTGATGCTTCGAGGTTGTGGCTGGTCCCTTGGAGTTGAGAAGACTGGCTTGAGGTCCCAGGTTGCGTGAGCTCTGGAGACTCTTGCATGAATGGTGTCCTGTGGGAGACGTGTAGGGAAGCTTGGATATCTTCTTTGGTGGGAGAAAAGTTGTCAAGAGTCTGCAGGACTTGGCCGGATTCATCCTCAATCACTGTGGCTCTGATGTTGTTGTCGTGGAGATTGTGTGCCAAGTGAGTGTGAGTCGGTGTGTCCTGGCTGACGTGGTGTGTGGTGTCAAGAAGCCTCCTGAACTGAGCAAGGTTGGCCATGGATTGTTCGAGTGTCTCATTTACCTGCTGGATCTCTGCCAGCTGGTTCTGCAGAGCGTGCACCTCGTTCTTTTTGGCTGTGAGAAAGAGCTCTTGGCCCTTTTCTATCTTGTGTAAGAGCTGTTGCTTCATCTGGAGTCGGTTGTTCTCAAGTTCCACTTGCTGGTGTTGTGTGTCCATGTGTGTGGCTTCTTTAATGACCTGACACAGTATGTGGATGCTTTCCCAGAGGAGTCTGATTGTTTCATCTTTGGTGGCTAGTGATGTCTTGAGGTTTTGATTCTCCTGCAGGAGCCACTGTGGAGGCTCGAGGCAGGCCAGAGGGTTAGTTTCTTGGGGAAACGTTGGCTTGTTGGAGGCTTCTGGTTGAGGCTCGGGCGCTCTGAGGAGATGCTCTCCTGTGGGAAAGTGCCCGAGAGTTTGCAGGTGCTGGGCATCTTCCTTTCCTAGCTTTCCCGCTTCTGTTTTGTCCTCTGCATGGTGATGGGTGCAGTTGGTGCTGAAGAGTTCCGATTCGATTGTGAATTGATCCAGTGTTTGGGGTAAGGTGTGTTGAGTGGCAGTGTGCTGGTTGTTTTGCAGCTCCCATGCCTGATGGTGTGCTTCCACATCTGTGGAGACACTTGTCAGCGTGTGCTCTTCACATCCTTGCTGGTCCTTCCCCCACACACCTTTGACAAGTCTATGTGTGAAGTAGCTGCCGATATCTTTTGCCTGTCCCAGGTAATGGCCTAGTATGGCGCCTAGGCCACAGATCCCTGAGAACATACCTGTGGGTCGCTGAACTGGACTGGAGCACTCAGAGAGCGTCCAGCTCAGTCGGACAGTCCCACAAAATGTCACGGGATCAGTGTGTGCTGGGCCTTATATAGGCAGCTCACAATGGGCGTTGGTTAGCAACAAGCTGTTGCCTGGAGATGCCTGGACCTTGGGCATGGGCCTTGGCCCTCCCCTCCAAGCCCACTAGCTCTTTGGCCCTCTTCATAGTCCTCATCATAGCCCTGAAATTCCCAAATGAATTGTCCCTCCCCTAGAGTGTGTGAGCATGCATAGGTATGAACAATACAGGGCCTGTCCTTCCATTGCACACCCTACCCCTTTTGTGCTGTGGTTCTTCCTGGCGTTGGAGCTGATTCCTGGATCCCCATCAGAGTGTAGCTTGCTGCTCCTGTGTGCTCTGGGAGGCATTTAGTGATGGCTCAAGTGTCTGAACTCCTGCCACGTTGGTGGCAGCACAGGTTGGAGTTCCTGTCTCCTGGCTTCTGCCTGCCCTGTGTGGGCTGTGGTGGGTTTGGGAGAGTGAGGCCATGCCAGCTGGTTCTCTCGCTCTCTCTTTCTCTGTCCTGTGCCAATGAAATAAGTAAAAGTAACAACAACAACAAAAGAGAAATAATATACAAATGAAGCCTGACTTGTATATACTCTTGAGAATACTCAGTTTACATTAGCATCTGGAATATTTGTGTGTGTGTGTGTGTGTGTGTGTGTGTGTGTGTGTGTGTGTGTGTGAGAGAGACAGAGAGAGAGAGAGAGAGAGAGAGAGAATGTTCCATATTAGTCAACTGAGTTACAGAATCAGTGTGTTTGGGAGCAGACCTGTGGTGTCATGAGTCAAGCTGGCACTGGTAATGCAGGCATCCCGTCTGGCTGTTGTACTATTGATACAGATCCATACTGATGCACTTGGGAAAGCACTGGTTGATGGCCCAAGTCCTTGGATCTCAGCTATCCATGTCAGAGAGGAGAAGAAGCTCCTTGCTCCTGGCTCCTGGCTTGGATCATCCCCAGGCCCTGTGGCCATTTGGAGTGTCTCCCCATCTGGGGACAAACTCATTCCCACTGTCTCTTTCTCTCTCTCCAGCTGTGCCTTTCCAAGAAACCCAAAGGGAACTCCCAAGCAAAAGAAGAATGAGCCTGGTTGGTTGAGGAGCCAACAAATCCTGTTTGGCTTTCCTGTACTCTGCATGCAGGTTTCACTTCATTGCCTGCTCTTGGGGGAACAAGCAAGGGAGACTGCTGGAGGAACAAAGCACTCGAGTCCTCTCAAACCTTGTCTCTCTTTGTTGTTTGGCTTGTAGCTCTTCAGAGCGTACATATCTTATCATTGATTTTGAATATTTGGTCAACCCTGAAGAAGTTTGTTTGAGCATTGGACTTCAAAGAATATGCAGTGCTTCAACTTTCTAAGGATACAAATACATGTGCAACTTTCTGTCATGTTACTTTAGTGCTAGGTCTCTTGATTGAAAGTTTTGACAGTGGGTTGAGAGATTACCTTTGAATGATCATCTTGTTATGTCAGAAGGAACTTGTGTTTGTTAAGTAGGTGTTTGTGTTTGAATGGTCTGTTTCACATGCATGGATGAAATGTATTTTAAGATTTCATGTGATTGTGCCAAGAACTGGCCTCTTTCCTCTGCTTGCAACACCATCTTTTCTCCAACACTTGGGTTTGGTGACAGAAATGCAGGCCTGGAGTACAAGAGGCCTGTCACCCAGTGTAGCCCATGTTCTCTGGGATAGTGGTGCTAAGAACCTGTCCCAAGAGATGCCATGTTGGCTAGCTGAAGCAAGGGCGATCCTAGCTTTATTGTGCTGTCTGTGCTTGTGTCATTTCCTTGTGTCAGAACACAGTCCTCTGAATCAGGATGGTGTCATAGGAAGGTGCTTTGTTAAGTGAGAATTTCTTTCCCCTCCAAGATCTTTGCAGTTTTGGACTTTGTAGTGAGTCTGATGTTCAGCTGCGGGTCACGTTGGAGTCCATTTGTCTACTGATTGTGCAGAGGGGAATTTTCATCCTCAAATGGAGCCGAGCGATCTAGCGCCATTGGGAAGAGCATTCCTTGGAGTAAGCCCAGGGCTTGGTGTTTCCATCACAGAGCTTGCCTGCCTTCTAGATTGGAGTGCTTGTTTTGAGCGCCAGTGAGTCTGCCTCGGATCCAGTTTCCTGATGATGTCTATGCCATGGGAGGCAGCAGATGTTCGTTCAGGTGGCTGATACCTTATTACGCGTGGTTTCAGCCTGGCCCATCCCTGCCAAGGACAGGCCTTTGGGAGTGATGTGGGAGGTGGAATATCTCTGTGTCTGTCTCTGCTTCTCCAGTGTCAACTTGGGGAACACAAAGCAAAAGGACCACTTGTTGGCGTAGACCTGGAGATGAGTAGAGTGCAGTTGCATCATCTTTTCTGTTGTATTGTATGAGAGCTTGTGAAAATTGGAATAGGCGTTAGAGTTATGTTTAAGGAGCTTTACTTTCTTCTACAGATTTCTTTAATTTTGTTGGAAAGGGAGATGGGCAGAAAGGAGGAGAGCCAGAAAGATCTTCTCTTTGCTGGTTCGCTCCCCAGATGTCTGCTGCAACAGCTGGAGCTGATCCAATCAGGATCCAGGAGCCAGGAACTTGCTCCCATCCACCCCCGTGGGTAGAGTTTCCCAAGACATTGGGCCATCCTCGACTGCTCTCCCAGGCAGTGGAGGCAAGTAACCTGCAGAGTTTGTTGGAAACGGATCCACATTAACCATATAAAATGTTGCACGGAATGGGTGAGTGTGGAGGACCTGCTACATTAGAAGTAGATGACCTCAGCATGGATTCACGTATACCTCACTAAATGGGACACAAAGATTAGTTACTCTTCACTAGGGTTTTGAAGATTTCTCTGCACACCCCTCCTAAAACTGTTCTGCACCTAAACTGTTGACACATGTCTTGTTAGAGTTACAAGCCAGTCTAGACTGCCCGAAAAGCAGCCAGGTTCAGCAAAATTATGCTTCAACACTATAAAATGCTAAATACTATAATGAAAATAGACACGAGACAACTGAATAGTAATCCAGAGCCATTTAAAGGTGTATAGAGCCCGGTTGTATATAAACTAAAATTGAAATGTCAATGAAGAAGTCTCAGGATGTGGTTAAGAACTTATATATATATTTTTTAACATACTGGTTACTCAATACTATGTCAATTAATTCCATAACATTATAAATTGTTGCTGATGTTATGTTGTGGCTTTTAATTTATCGGGATGATACTCTGCCGGCTCTATCTTCAGACCAGAGATGGTCTTCCCAAGAAGCTGTTCAACTTATCTGGACAATAAGATGCTGGACTCTATGCTTGGTATATGCTTGCAATAAAAGAATCTCAACTGAAATTGAACTGTGGTAATGCAATAAGGTGGAGGAATCCACCAATGGGGGGAGGGTTTGGGGAGGGGTGGGGGACTCCCAGTGCGTATAAAAGTGTGTTACATAATGCAATGTAATTAATAAGAAAAGAAAAAAAGAAGAAGTAGATGACTTCTACCAGGATGCACAATTTTGAGGTTAGGCCTGGGTTGGAGAAAGAGGTTGAATCAGTGTAAAAAACTGTGAGAAGGACCCCCATAGTTGTTCAAAACTCTTGGGATTGTGGGCTGGAGATGTGACTTGAACTTGATCTGCTGAGAAAGGTAAAGTCAGCAGTGTTGGGAGTGCGGGTGGGGAGATGGGCATGGGGCAGGTAAGCTCCAACTGTTGACCTACAAAACCCACCCTATGCAATGTCCACCAGGAGGAAGCTTGTCACCCAAATGGGACACCCAGAATTCCTCCAAGGTGGAGGTAGTGGCTCTGGACAAGGCCTGGATCTTCATGGAAATTCCTAGAAATAGGCAATGCCAGTCAGGAGCAGCTGGGCCCCTGTGCAAGCCTCAGGGCCCTCCCAGGCTTGTTGTCTAGGGCAAGGTGTGGAGCCCCTGTATGCAGGAGCAGGGCCTGGGGTGGCCAGAAGGGCTGTCTTTCTCCCCATGGGAAACATGGCAGGCTGGCCCCTGGGGGGTAGGGCGAGTAGGTGTCATGACCTGCACTGTGAAGAGGTCACACATGCAGCATGGTGAATTTCCAAAGTCAGGCAGCAGAAGAGGCCCGGTGTGGATGTTTTTCACTAGAGTAGCCCAGGCCAACAGCTCTCCAGTCTTTGGGCTGCAAGTGACACTTGATGGACTCCACAATGTAGCTGGCAGGGGGCAAACATTCTTCTTTGCTTCTGCATGCAGGATTCTCTTCTCCAAAGCTGGTCCTAGTACCTAGGCATCTTTGCTGTGTCCTAAAAGGAGCATCCAAAGGCAAAGATACAACACCGATTGGTTTGGCTTTCATTAGAAATTCATTAACAGAGGCAGCCTCGATTCTCCACACTGAAGCTTTCCTAGCAGATCTCCCAGCAGCTGAACAGTGGGTGTTGTAAGGTGGGAACAAAAAAACAACAGAGAAAACACTGGTTTAGCATTTGGTTGCTTTATTGTAAGGGATAGAGCAGTGGGGACATGTGTACTGCCCTGACTCAGGTGCACTGGACTGTCTCTGCTTAACTAAAGCCCTGGTTTGATTGTGTGGCCTTCAGCATGGTTTGCTGGGCCTAGTGTACATGCTCAGCCTGAAACAGAGGCTTCCCATAATGTGTGTTTAAGCAGGAGGAAAACAAATGTACTTTGTGCTTATTAGGAACACGCAGTGAGGCTGTACAGCTGTTGTCCCTAACTCCGCAGAGCTGGGTGAACCTCGCATGGCTGTGGCCTTTCCTTTGAGGCATTCAGGGGGGCCTCATGCCTGCAGCTCAGCTCGCCTTTCACGCCCCTCGCCCTCATCATCTGCCATCCACAGCCACAGAGCAGCTGTCCTCAGGAGTGTCTCTGCCACTCAGGTGCCTTCCAGACTAGCCCTGCTGCCCGCTGCCCTCCCGGCACCACTGGTTTTACCCTACAGCACAGCATCTTGGTTCTAGGCATGTTGTCATCCCGTGACGTCGCCCTGGGGCAGCTGGAAGGTTGTTTTCACTCCTGGGCAGAGCACGGCAACTGAGAGCTGGTGGCTCCGGAGGCTTGTGGGTAAGCAGGATGGCTAAGTGCTCCAAGCTCCCCTACACGGGAACCAAGCGCAGAACGGCTGCTTCCAAGAGCCCCTGTTCTGAATCTGTGGGGACAGCCACAGGAGGACAGACCTCTAAACTTGACGTCACTGGACAGAAATGATGGCTTCTTGGGGTGTTCTCTGCCAGAATTAACCAACACATGACTCATGTTTGTTTCAATTTTTTATTAAAAGTTTTTTTTAAGGGACAACCAAAGGAAAAATAAGTCTTTTAAATGTTGTAGAGCCTGAAAAATGCAAGTTTTAGGAATGCAGAATAAATTTTAAAAATTTTCAAAGATGTTTCATAAAAACATTTGGAAATGTGACTTATATGTAATTTTTCCATAATATTTTTCTTTTCTTCATGTTGATGCTACTCTGACTTGTAAATAATTGTTCAAATGTTTTAATGTCGCACTAGATCTTTTAAGAGTATCTTATGTAGTAAGAGACTAAATTTTATTACAATCTAGTACCCAGAAAATGAAAACAGTATTAATGAAATGTTTTAGGAGAACTTGCCAGCAAGAACATGTCTTCTATACACAGGAACGTTTACATGGCTTTAATAACAGTTACTGATTTAAAATCAAGTGCTTTTCTGACCTTGCCGGGGGAAAAAAGTGTCTAGAAAAGAAAAGAAAAGAAGGATTTTTAAAAAAAGAATTTTTACCACAGCATCAATATAGAAGTGAGTGAGCTTAGTGTGGCGACAGAGGATATAAATTTTATTGAGGCTATTTTGCTTTCTCAATTGTCACAATTTCAATCTGGAAAGTCATTCAAAACTTGAACTACATTATAGAACTGGAGATGGAATGTTTTGGGCAAACTCCCAGTAATTAGAAAACAAAAGCAACGTTTGAATAAAAAATATCACTTGAGTTAGGGAGAGTTTCTAATAGGAGATATCAAAGTAAGAAAAATCAGTCAAGGAAACTGCTTAAACTGTTCATTAAGAAAAGTAGGAGGTAGGAAAAAAGGGTTATATTTTAAAATTTAATATTGAAGACTTAAAGATGACAAATGAAGTTATACAACATTGGATGTCATCATTAACAAACAGCAAGCAAGTTGAAAATAAAGAAAACTGAAGTGAAATTTTTTTTGAAAAACATTTGAAGTGAAGCAACTGGCTACAGATTTTGAAATGTTCTCATGTTCAAGAAAACCCTCAGTTTTAGGCATTCATGAAGTAGAGTCAGTGTGTTCAAGGTACTTTTGAACAGAGCTGTTCGAGGTAAAAGGATATCCCCCCGGGGTTTTCCTGCCAAAAAATACATCTTTGTGAAAGAGTAATGTATCTGGCTCATTCATTAAAATTTAAAAAACAAAAAACAGAAAAGGTATCAAGGTTTTAAAAATGGAAATATTTAATCATAATATTATACATGGCTTTATAACTACTGTTCAGATAAATGAGTCATACAAACTATCAGACAGCATTACTATTTTTATATTCTACAATACGTACAATACTTAGAGGTATTCCTAAATGGTTACTTGCGATTCAAATACTTGTTACTTGTGCTAGAGAAGTTTTTAATTTTGTAAAAGAGACTGTAATATAAGTACTTTTGCTTGGATTTATCCTTGAAGATTGAAGTTTTATGACCAAGAAGGGCATACCATCTTTAAGCTTGTCTTTAGTGTAACATTATGTAAGACATGGACTAAAAATCCTCTAGTGGTATTTGGAATGAACAGCATCTTGTGCAAGGATTTTAAAAAATACATAGGAATCCTAACTTCCTACAATACAGTTATACTTGTCTAATAATAACATTATTAGATCTGGATATAAATTTAACAAATGAAGGACTATAAAATAAGAAAAGGAATGAGCATAAATAATTTTAGTTTGTCTCCCATTACAATTCCCAGTACACTTGGCCTCTCCTAACTGCGAGTCTCCTTCAGTTCCCCGAGCCCTTCTTGAAGCTGCGCTGGCTCATTCTGGTCTCCAGCAACAGTCCACCTGTCAGCCATGGCACTCCTACCAGGGGACAAATGGATTCCCTGCTGCTCTTAAGTGGAGTCTGATTAGCAGTCAGTTCCTAGTGTGCTTTTGGCTGTTACTGCAAGTCACAGAGCTGCTTTTACTTGCAAATGATTTACCCGAGCAGGGCACTTGTACAGGTGTGCCCTGCAGTTCAGGGAAAGGCCAACTCCTCTGCCCAGGTCAGCATGATGGGTATAGGGAATGGAAATGAATGAAGATAGTTCTATGGCTTTGTCAGCATGTGTATTAAGGATGGAGTCCATCATGTAAAAAAATATTTTTTTAGCTATGAAAAAACACTTTATTTTGGTACAAAAAACAAACCATCCCATAAAGAACACCACTTATCCACTGTTGAACAAACTTAGAGAACAGGAACGCCTCTAGCAGCTCCAAGGATATCACATATGCTGTAGAGAAAGGTCATTACTATTTGGATTCAAACACACAGTATGGAAGAGAAACTAACCAACTCCCTCTCATCTTGATTTTTCCATAATTTTTTAAAATCTTCACTAAGAAAGGAGTGCTTAGTCCATCACATAATTCTACAAGGTGGGGGTGGTAAAGTGAGCCATCTGCACCCAGCCAGACCATATGATACCCTGTGTGTTGTCCTCCCCTGTTTCTCAGGAAGGTGAGCTTTCTGGTAAGGTTCCCATGACTTAGTAGTAGGTCTCATGCTGTAACATGTCGGCCCCTTTTGGTTATAGTTGTAAAAGTCGTCACCAAATTCTTGACGGCCTGAGAATATCTTAGAAGCAGATCACGAGGCAGGATCTGGATTTGCTTAGTCCAGCTCGCATGCTCATGTTGCTAAAACCAGGCCTGTGCTGGGCAGTGAGGTCCAGCACGGTCCCAGCCTCAGCACTCTTCGCTCTGCTTGTTTTTGATCTAAATGCCCATCTGTCCTTACCAGTGGGAGCAGTCACTGCAGAGTAAAAACCCTGCCAGGAAGTGACTCACTGGCCACCAGTTGTTCCTGCTTACCCCAGCCTCAAAACCACTGACCCCAAAGACACAGCTGGAGCTCAAACGAGCCGGCCGATTTGCCCCAGGCCCACTGAGCTGTTCTGGACACCCAGTGACGGCTGTAACTCCTGGCACTGCACTGGCTCCTTGGCCCTGTGGGAAACGTCTGTAGGGGACCTGACCAACTCGGTGTACAGTGAAGAATACATCTCATCTTTGCAGGAAGTGACACAGGACACTAGGGGCAGCAGAGTCTTAGTAATGTTGTCCGGTGGTGAGGGCAAGGGAGAAAGGAAGGACAGTGACATTGAAGAGGATGATGATTCTGGTAGCACTTCCCCTTTCCTTTCAAAGGGCACTTGGAGATCGTCACTACAGAACTGACTGGTTACCACCATGGCTTCTGTGTCTCCTGCCAGCTGGGCAGCCCACACGCTTCTGGTGCTGGACAAGTCCCAAGTACCTGGTGCCCCAGCTCCTGACACAGCCAAGCACCTCCGGTTGTGGTAATGCTGACATTGTGGGTTTCTGAATACATTCAATTCCAACCTTTGGTGAGAGGAAAACAGCTAAGCCAGATAGCGGGCCAGGGGAACGGAGCTGCTGGATGGATGGGGACTGAAATTAAGCTTTTTATAATGATTTTGTGCATGTTCTTAGAGTGATATATTCGAATATCTACTTATAAAACAGATAAACAATATAAGGCACAGGAAAGCATACACACAATTAGAAAAACTTAGTGTTCCAGGATCAGCACAAACATCAGCTCTGGTTGGCAGGCTTCTTTCTGCCAGCTTCAGCAATGCGGGCACACAGCGTGAGGCTTTGTTAAGAGCTTCAGGTCCTGAAGGAATTCTCGGTGTACCTGCTTCTTCGATCAGAGCTGAGTGTGGGTTCAAGGGCAGGGGCACTGCTGCGGGGCAGGGAGCCATGCGAGCAGTACAATAACACGTCACTGCACGTCTGACCTGGAAAGGAGCTCCTCCCCAGTTGTCTACATCTCAACTTGCTGGCATTCTGGCGTGACCGGTAAATTAACTTCTCATGTCTGTTTTGTCTAAATGGCTTTGGTTTATATTTCCATTCTGTCTCTAAAACATGCAGTTCATACATTTGACCGTTTTACTTCCGTAGTCAATGCACTCCGGGCCAATGCACTCGCAGCAGGCATTGTGGAACCAGCGGTACTTGGACGCCCCCATGGACTCACAGGATATTTTACACTGATGTATGGACATGCAGTCATCAAAGTAAACCACCGTGCACATGTGTTCTGTAAAAGCAACAAGTTGAAAGATCAGAACAAGAGAGAAAACAGGAAAGGCATCAATACAGTTACAGAGTATTAAACATTATTCCGTTTTCTTAGTAATGGTCTGCCTAGGACAAACAAGGATAGGAAAGAAAAGATCCACTTGCTAATGATACCAGAAGAAAGTCAGACCCTTCCACTCAGCTGAAGAAAGGCCCTTAGGACTTTAACGTGAAGGCCATAGTACCGGGTTGTATGACAGAGTTGTGTTCTTCACGCTGGGTATTTCTGGTTAGATTTCTTCTAAAGAGGATTCTCCAGTCAAAAGTTTGAAAAATACTGTTCTAAATTACATGGAGGGGGCAGTCTTAAGGCGTTTCCATGATGCAGCGTCCCATGTGCTGCTCCACTTCTCATTCAGTTCCCTGCAGATGCACCTGGGAAAGCAGCGGGAGGGTGGTCTGAATGCCTGGGTCTCTGCCCCCTCAAGCAGACTTGGCTGAAGCTGCTGGCTTTGGCCACTGTGGCCATTTAAGGAGTCAATCAGTGGATGGATGATCTCTCCCTTTCTCTCTGTGACTACCTTCCAAACAAATCAATCCTAAGTGTTTAGAATGTTTGGCATAAATAAGCATTTAGCTTTTAGGAATATATTTTTTTTTAATTTTTTTTAAAGATTTATTTTTATTATTTTTTCATTGGAAAGTCAGATATACAGAGAGGAGAGACAGAGAGGAAGATCTTCCATCGGATGATTCACTCCCCAAGTGGCCGCAACGGGCCGATGCTATGCCGATCCGAAGCCAGGAGCCTCTTCTGGGTCTCCCACGCGGGTGCAGGGTCCCAAAGCTTTGGGCCGTCCTCGACTGCTTTCCCAGGCCACAGGCAGGGAACTGGATGGGAAGCGGGGCTGCCGGGATTAGAACCGGCGCCCATATGGGATCCCAGGCGTGCAAGGCGAGGACCTTTAACCACTTGCGCCACCGCGCCGGGCCCCTAAAGCAGTTATTTTCATAATATGCTCTCTACTGCCAGGAATACTGACATATTAGCTTATTTAATCAGGCTACCGAAATCTAGAATTTACTTAGGACTACACAAATTTAAAACCAACAATGCGCTTCAAAAGATAATACAGGGTGCACTAACCACGTGAACAGATTACAGGCAGGAAGAAATAGAATCAAGTGTTTGCAGTTACCTTTGTCACTGGAATATGGCGCATGGACATTGTTGCCGGGGACAGACACATTTTGGTGGTGTGGCTGGTTCACGGTTTCTAAAAACGAAACCAGATTCTCATGGTGTGAGAGCTCTTCTGCCACAGGGAAGGAGACGATGTTCCAGTTGAGCTGAGTGTCGCCCTCTGTGAGCGCCCGGAAGAGGGAAGGGATGGGCTCGTGCAGCTCCTCCACCGTGCTCTTGGAGGTGGGAGGGGTGTCGCTGTAATTCCGGGGATTGCACATACCTGGAGCGGATGGAGAGCGGAGGGAGGGAAAAGCCGTTTTTCTTACCGACTTAACATCATGAGGTTGTGTTAGTTACTGCCCTGCAATCAAAACTCCAGTATACTAAAATGGCATGATTTCTACCATGATCTGTAAACACTTTGCTGTTTTTTTTTTTCTGAGAGGACTTACGAGGGATGACACTCCAACCCAGTAGCTTTGAACATATCAGTGACCCAGATTTTGTTTCGTAAAAAGCCATCTTCCACTAGCAGAAAGCAGGACTCCTTGGAGCAAGGGCTGATCCCAGGGCCGGGTCAAGGAAATGAGCCAGGAACCCTTTGTGTGCCACAAAATAAGGACGTGCTCAGCAGCTGATGGGCTCCTGCCAACTCCCTCAGCACGTCGAGCCTTAAAATACTGGTGACAGTGGACTGTTACCTGTGAGGAAGGTAGGATCTTATGATCTTTTGTATTAGAGAAGAATACAAATGAAGGAAAGACAAAGTTGTTCCTCACAACAGGTAAGTATGGAAGAAATGAAACAAAACCACCGCTGGCCCCGTCATAAAAGTGGTTTGACAGGAATCTATGATGGATGCTTCAGGCTGATGAATGGAATTGTGATGAGGGACATATTGATATGTTCTTGGAAAAAACACGAATCAATTACACACAGGTTGATAATTTAATGCAGAGCTGGACATGATGGGGAAATCAAGGCTGGGATCCAGTAATAGCACAGGCTGGTGCTGTGTCACCTGACAAAGGCATAACAGTGTAACTTCCATGAACAATGTGTGACTTAATTCTGGTTGCGTCAACATCAGGAAGAGCAAGGTGAGTTACACTCTGAAAAACCATTGAAGGGAAGGACCAGGAGACTGCTTCAGTCCTGAGGGGTTTGAAAAGACAAGACAGCTAAACATTGCACCTATTCCTGGATAAGATCTTGGACCAAAAAAAGAAAAAAAAAGACACCCTTGAAATAGCTGGTGAAATAGAAATGGCATTTGCAGATTGCCAATGCTGGCACAACACCGCCACCCATTCTGATTTGAAAAGTTGTAAACAGTAAGACAATGTTGTAGCCATAAGACAATGCCACACTGCTGGAGAATACACACTAGTGTTTTTAGTAGTGATGGGACATGCTTTGTAGAACCTGCTTTCAGAAGAGTGAAGAAAAGATGAGTGTGTGTGTATGTGTGTGTGTGTGTGTGTGTGTGTGTAGGGGTAGGGGCTCTGAGCAATACAGCAAATGCCCAGCTTCTGGATGAGGCGAGGGTTTCTACACTTCTCACATATCTATACATCTCAAATTATTCTAAAGTGAATTATTAAAAATATTAGGAGAAATGACTAGAGCAGGAGGCAGTATAGCCAGCTTTCTCAAGGAGTTTTGCTGTAGAGAGTGAAGAAAGCACCCAGTCAGACCCAGCTATGAGCTGTCCAGAAGGCACGCAGTGAAGGAGTGGTCCCCAGTCATGCAGCCCAGATCAGACTCCAGGAGCTAATCAAATGGTCACTGTTGCTGTAAATCACTGCATTTGCCATAAGCATTTTAGTACTAATGGTGACGGAAACAGAACTCTCAGTCTCCTTGGGTGAAGGTTTTTAAAGAAGCTACTGTGTTCATTTTTCTTAGCACCTATTAGGTATAATAACGTGCATGGCTTCTTCAGATTAGAAGTATGAAAAGGTTAAATAAATTTTATAAATTCCTTTATTTTTCAAATTCAGAGAAGAGGAAAAGTTCTGTAATTGGCTTTCCATGCCCTGACAGGCCAAGAACCGTGGCAGGAACAAGGACAGCCTAGCTGTGCGTGTGTAGTTCAGCCAGCCTGGAGCCACTGTGGGTCACTGCTGGCCATCAGTGAGTAAACGTGTTCAGTACATACATGTCTTGTCCAACATTTAATCCAAGACATGACTCCACCTTCTGTTTTTACCTCCACTGCCCTAAACACCACATCCTCTAAGTAAGCTCTCAGCGGCATCAAGAGGGGAAAAGCTGGGATACTTTTTATTATTTCAATATACATGACATAGTCCTCTGTCTGTCTATGATGAACGGTAATTAGAAACCAGGGAGATAAACAACTAAGTCCAAAGGTGACAGCCGAACTCCAAACCCACTGAAGAGTTTAAAGAAACCTCAGTGCTCACTATCAGATTCCGTTGCATTTGACCAGCGTGAGCCAAAAATATTTATAATTTAAGTCTTAATACACTGAAATAAAACCAGTAAGCATTGCCAGCTTCCACTCCCCAATTCTAGCTTATGCAGACCCTGGAAAGCAATAGTGCTGGTTTAAATACTTGGGTTCTTGCTTCCCAAATGGGAAACCTGGGTTGTGTTTAGGCTCCTGGCTTCGGCTGGCCTAGCCCCAGCAGCCTTTCGGGGAGTGAATGAATCAGAGCGTGGAAACTTTCTCTTCCTGTCTCTCTGGAGCTTTGCCTTTCAAATAAAATAAATAAATCTTTAAAACACAAGAGCAGCAGACTTCCCCACTGCTACGCACAGACACAGTCAATACACACACAGGTTTGTCTCCAAGGTTTTCCAATCATTACTACCACAGCAATTTCAACAGACATGATTAAAGCATCAGTATCTTTGGACATTACCCATGAATTCTCTCACATGAAAGACAAGGTTCACTTAACACCAGCTCTAATAATAATCTAATAATCATATTGCTTCCCTTCTGTTCTCAAATACATTAACACATCTTCTATTACCCCAGCTCTCTTAATTCTCTCATCTGTGTAAACAGACACAGAGTCCTTTCCACTCTTCCCAGCACTTCTTAGCTTCTCCTGACTTCCGTGTTGGCAAACTTGATAAGCACACTGTCACGTATGTACAGTGCACTCCTGTCTTACTAGTTTTCCATTTTTGGCATCTGTGTAAGTAGTAGTCACCTTCACACTGCTCACCGCACTGGCACAGCAGAATTTGCCAAAGGACCAAGGACAACAGTTTATTTCAAGAAAAAATGAATTTCTTGAAACTCATAAAATGTTACATTTTGCACAGCATGGTTAGTCTAAGAAGGCTTCCTGGCAGGTGGTGCCATTGAACCTAGTCAAACTCCTGCAGTGAACTCCCAATGACAGGAAATACATCAAGGTGCTGGAACAACGTAAAAGATGCCTGTGGAAGCAGTAAATCCTGACTAGGGACCATTACAGGTCAGTTGATACCTTCTGCAAAACGTCACATGGCAAGGGGGTAGGGAAAGGGCAGCTACTATACAACAAAGATGCTAACAATTAGATGCAGTACAAAAGCCTTGTCTGGATGAATTTGAACTAGTCAACTATAAAAACACACCTTGAGATATCTGGAAACGGCTGATCATAAGTTGAACTTTACACCAAGAAATCACTGGTAATTTTGTTAGGTGTCATGTGTCATTGTCATCTTAAGTAAATGTCGTCTTCCCCTTTTTAAATAAAAAGACACTGGGGGAGAAGAGGCAAGATGGCCGACTGCAGCAGGCTGAAGTAATCGAGGGTGCGAAAAGGGGTCGGGATTCTGCAGAGGAGAGGCCAAGAAAAGGAGAATACTGGGGAAGGCTGTGGGAGATGCCCGGGGGGTTGGCAGGGCTGAGGCAGGTGGCACACAGCCTGGGACAGATGTGAAAGACTGAGCTACAACTGCAGCCCACAGCAACTGGAGAAGCTTCGCTGAGACTGCAACCTTCCCGCAGCTCCATCCTGCACTGCTCCGAGGGCTACAGGAACTACAGGAAAGGGAGGCCCAGTATCTCCAGGGAGAGAGGTCCCCCTGGCACACACAACTGCGGGAGGAAGGAACGGGGAGGGAGTGGGGTCTGCACATGTCAGTGCGAGGGCGCCGTACAGCTGCCTGGCTAGTAGGACCGGCGCGAGTGCCTGGAGCAAACAGCGCAGCACACTGGAAAGGCTGGTCAGTGAGAAGTGAAGAGAGTGCTGGGTGTACGCTGGGTGTATTTCAAACATGCTCTCACAGACCATGGGCAACTCTACATTGAAAAATCCATCTGCAGTCTGAAGTTACAAAAACCCCTTGCCAATCCTCCTAGACCAGGCCCGCTAGGGTGTGGGAACATAAAGGAGAGCAGTAACTCTGGTCACCCACAAGGTGGCAGCAGTGCACAGTTTGGGGATCACAAAAACCTCTCCCCAGGCTACACCTGCCACCTAAAAAAAAAAATTCCAAAAAAAATCCTCACATCCACCCACTGAGAGGGTCACAGCGTATCTCTACCCTAGACACTCCTAGATCACTGAAAACATAGGGTAAAAATTTATCCTGTAATTTGCTTTTAAATACTTGGTACACACACAGAAAAGGACAGATAATAAACATGTGGTGTGCCTCCAATCTGTTGAATTTAGCGATGGATATGTGCACTGTGCTCTCCTCTTCACTCTTGGGTTCATGTGAAAAAAATTTTTTTTAAATGAACTCCATATTTAATTCCTCTATGAATAGTTCTTTTCTTGCTGGGTTTTTTTTTCTTAACATCGTGATGTCTGAACTTTCTCCCCCTGGCAGTAAACATGCTAGTGAAGTTCAATGAAGAGAATACACCCAATAGAGCAGGTAAGGATGTCAGGAAGGTCACCGCTATGGGTCCAGCCCAGTCTGCGTTCAGACTGCAGTGCTCACGGCTATGGGTCCAGCCCAGTCTGCAGTGCTCACAGCCATGGGTCCAGCCCAGTCTGCAGTGCTCACAGCTATGGGTCCAGCCCAGTCTGCACTGCTCACGGCTGTGGGTCCAGCCCAGTCTGCGATCAGTCTGCAGTGCTCACGGCTGTGGGTCCAGCCCAGTCTGCAGTGCTCACAGCTATGGGTCCAGCCCAGTCTGCATTGCTCACGGCTGTGGGTCCAGCCCAGTCTGCAGTGCTCACGGCTGTGGGTCCAGCCCAGTCTGCGATCAGTCTGCAGTGCTCACGGCTATGGGTCCAGCCCAGTCTGCATTCAGACTGCAGTGCTCACGGCTATGGGTCCAGCCCAGTCTGCATT